CACGCAACCCGCTCCTCGGCGGTCACCGCGGGCAAGGGGGTATCTGCCCACACGGGCAGTGGGCGTGACCCCACCACCCGCGTCGATACTCCAGATCGACACGTGCCATCCCCGTCCGCTCCGCTAACACATCCGGCGGTGTTATAAAGGAGGAGTCGTACCCCCGCGAGCGTAAACATCACCCGCAGGAGACTCACGAGGCGTCATATGCTTCGTCACTTCCTCCTCCCCGCAGATTCGTACAGTGTTATCTCACCACGGGGTCCTACCCCAGCTTGAGCGATCCTATTGCCACCGTATGTCTCTTCTTCTTCCCTCTCGCTGCCACTCATCTGTCTAGACGTAGTACACGGGCGGCTGCACCTGCACCCGGCTACGCGTAACTTGCTCCGGCATTTGCGCCAAGCCCCGTGGTCGGTAACCATGCTCCATGGCTCCAACGGCCTTGTGCCACCTCGCCGTCTCGTCTGCCATGCCCGCTTTCCCCACTTCATCTCCTTCGCTGCCGGCTGGCGAGGGCGTCAAGTCCGCTGGGGGTCGTGCGTCGCACCGTTCCGACTCCTCATCGTCGGCGTCGGCCGTCTCTTGGTCGACAGGCATCTCGCACTCAGCCCCAGCAGTTCCTTGCTCTGTCGCGACTCTTGGACCTTGTTCAATTGTTTCAACGTGTCGTCGACGTGGTCACCATTGACACTCTGGACAACATCCTCTTGTCCCTCTCCCTCCGATCGCCGGACCTGCAACAACAGCTTCTCCTTGGCTTCGTTCAGTTCCGGTAGCTCGAGCATGAGTGCATCCATCTGCCGCTGCATGTCCTGCACCTTGCTCTCTAGCTCTGACCGCACATACACCTGTTCCTGTAGCTTTCCCTCCAGCTCCTTCACCATCTGTAGCTGCTCTGCCTCGCTGCTTTGAAGGGAGTTCAATCGGTTCTTCAGCTTCGTCGACTCCTCCTGGGCGGCCGTAGTAAGCGCATTGGCCTTCGCTAGCTCGGAGTCGGCCGTCACATGCTGCATACGCTCTGGATGTAGCTCCTCCGTCACCTCAGCTAGCCGCCGCTGCAGCGTGTGCTCAACCTCCGTACGCTGAGAGATGCTGCCCTCCATCTCATGGTTGGCTCTCTCCGACTGCATGAACTTCTCCTGGTAGTAGGTCACCTGCTGATCGATCTCGTTCTGCATGCGCTGAGCCATGTTCGTGCGCTCAGCCTGCAGATTCTGCACCTCGGCCGTCAGCTGAGATATCTGACGCTGGCATCGATCGTTCTTCTGCTTCAGCTTGGAGTTCAGCTGTCCAAGCGTCTCTATCACGAGCTGACGCGTGTCCTGCCCCTGCTGCTTCTGTAATTGACTCTGAAGCTGTCCCACCTCCTGCACATGTTTGTCGTGCGCTTGCTGCATGACATTCTTCATCGCCTGCAGCTCATTACGCTGTGCAATCAACTGTACTGCTGTGGCCCATGATGGTCGACCTTCTCTCGCCGGCGTCTCCTCTGTTCCGCGAACTCTCGCCAGCGTCTCCTTTGTTCCGGGCACTCTCGCGCGAAATGGCCCACTTCTCCGCAATCGTAGCAGGTCACTGGTCTGTGTCCCTGACACTTGGACCCTCTCTAACGATATCCGGCCCTGCCGCTGCTAGGAGGCGCTGGGCGTTGGACGCCGAGTCCCCCACTACTCAGAAGGTCTCTTAACATCCGCTTGATCTCGGACAGAACAGCGGCTCCCGCATTTTCCCTGGAACTGGCTTCCCCGGATTTTGCCACCTCCCGCACTGACCGCAGTTGCCCATCGATGCTCCGTGGCAGCCACCGAGGCGTCTCCCTCTCCGCTACTACCGCTGGGCTGACAGCCGGACCGTCCCCCACTTCACCTGCCTCTCCTTCCATTGCTCGCCCTGCCTACGCCGCGATCCTGGTCACGGCACCACTGTAACGGTTTTCGCCCTCTCTCTGATCGCCTAACCAACCGACTCGACTACTACCCTTGGCCGTGGTCTAGTACGGTTGCCGTTGTCGCCGCGCACCCTGACAGGGCCGTTACTCCCCGTCCTTTACCGATTCGATCACTAGGATCGCGACGAGGCAGAGGCAGTCAAACCCCCGAGCGCCGAGAAAAGGGGGGGGCGTTCCAGTCGTCCAATGAGAGATACAGAGGGGAGGGGGGTGGTCGCAAAGTGATGTGCAAAGTAGGCAGTAATTGCAGCCACGCCTGCACATCCAGCGCAAACTAAAATCGCTTACGAACGTCAACAATAATTGCTAAAAGTAATTCCGTAGAGGCGAAAACACACGCATATAATATAGGAGAAACAAATGCACATAGCAGAAACGACAAAACACAGTGGCGTTCCACAGTCTGCTGGCTACAGCACACTAGAGTGGAACTCTCCACCCTATAGTGTCACGATTCTTCTCATAATTAATAAACACACAGATGAAGTTTTCCTTCCCTCCCTCCGTACACCTACGCTAGCCGTATAGTTAACTTGCATTACGTTCACAATAGTCTACAAATCCTACAATATTCCATAACACGTACGATTTTACCGATTAAATATACTATATGTACATACCACGTACACTACTAGCTACAGCATACAGCTACATACATACACATACTGGCTACAGCATACATGATACAGCTAAAGAACACTAATACTCACACTAGTAGTAGTAGTGTGGTAGTACTACTACTAGTACCGTACGCGCACTACGAAGCACTCATAATAGCGCTACAAATTACAGTACGCGCATGGTTAAGTTAACGGACGCATTCTGAAACACAACTGGCCGCGATCACTCTCAGGCGTATCTCCTTCTTCGCGCCGTTTTCTCTATTGTTTTCGCTTCCTGGAACCGTCCTCGCGGCTAGCGCCATCTCTCGTAAAATAAACTGCACATCGTGCTACCGAAACGCACGATGCCAAAAGCGAATCTGCTACAAAGTGAAGAGTTTAGATGTTAGGAGTTAAGAGCTAGGTGAGGAGTTAAGAGATGAGGAGTTTAATGTGAAGAGTTTAGACGTTAGGAGTTTAAGCTAAGGGGTTTAGAGGTGAGGAGTTTAAGGTAAGGTGTTTAGAGGTGAGGAGTTTAAGGTAAGGGGTTTAGAGGTGAGGAGTTTAAGGTAAGGTGTTTAGAGGTGAGGAGTTTAAGGTAAGGGGTTTAGAGGTGAGGAGTTAGAGGTAAGGGGTTTGGAGGGGAGGGGTTTAATGTGAGGAGTTTAGACATTAGGAGTTTAAGGAAAGGGTTTAGAGTTAAGGAGTTTAATGTGAGGAGTTCAGACGTTAGGAGTTTAAAGATGAGGAGTTAAAGAGCTAGGTGAGGAGTTAGGAGATGAGGAGTTTAAAGTGAGGAGTTAAGATGTTATAGGAGTTTAAGGTAAGGGGTTTAGAAGTGAGGAGTTAAGAGCCAGCTGAGGAGTATAGAGGTGAGGAGTTAAGAGCTAGGTGAGGAGTTTAAGGTAGAGTGTAGACGTTAGGAGTTTAGAGGTAAGGGGTTTAGANCGAATCTAACATTTCTGACGTCAATTTGTAATCTATTTCAACTTCATTTTATTTTTCATTCATTCATTTACTTCTAAATTCAATTCGTATCAATTTCGTCTGCTAATTCGTTTAACAGTACTTGTTCGAAGACATTAAAATCTCGTGATTAAAATCTGCTGAGTAACCCTCCATGGGGGCCACCATCTTGGATAAAGCCAGCGCACAGCAAGCGCTCGTGTGTCGTTCAAGAGGCGCTGCGTTCGTGCATCGAGCGTTCGCATTGAGCGTACGCTCTGTTGAACACGCCTCTACAGATGCGTGTTCAACAGCGCGAAAGCTCGCGTGGGCTTGCCTTCTCAACGACACCGCGCGGTCGAGCGCTCGCGAGCGCACGCGATCAGGCTCCCGAGGCTGTTCGCGCAGCGCGCGAGTTTTCAAGATGGCGACGGGCAATCTGGTGAATGCGAATCAAACACTTCTCTCGAATCTAATCTTCTAACGAATCTGACTTCAATTTCACTCTGTTTCATTTTATTTTGCAATAATTCTTCTAAATTCAATTCGTATTAATTTCGTCTGCTAATTCGTTTAACAGTATTTGTTTGAAGACATTAAAATCTCGCGATTAAATCTGATGAGGAAGCCGCCATCTTGGATAAAGCGAGCGCTCGGTGCATAGCTCGGTGTCGTTCAAGTGGCGCTGCGTTCGTGCTGCGAGCGTTCGCGCTGTTGAACACGCCTCAGAAGATGCTACACTACCCCTCCCCCAAGCGCAATGTGCCACACAAGCACGACAAGCGCGTATGTCACTCGCCAACCGCCGCTCCTCTGTCATGGTCACCTCAGCGCAGCTACAAGGTAAGGGCAAAGATCAAGCAGGCAGTGAGTACGTACGTGATTATTCGCTTGGCTTTGTTATGTTTGATTTTGAGTTACATATACACTTCTAGTGCATACCTATGAAGCACTCACGCAGGAAATGTTTATTTTAATTAAAGAGGGGAGATGTTATGATATATGACCGCCAGATGTCACGACGCGAACAACGTGTGTGTCGCGTGGTATGTGTAACGGATTTCCCGCTCTCTCTCTCTACCTAACTACCCGACTCGACTACTACCATTGGCCGTGGTATAGTACGGTTGCCGTTGTCGCCGCGCACCCTGACAGGGCCGTTACTTCCCGTCCTTTCCGATTCGGATCACTAGGATCGCGACGAGGCAGAGGCAGCCAAACACCCGAGCTCCGAGAAAAGGGGGTGGGGGGAGGGTCCGGTCGTCCAGTGAGATACGGAGGGGGGGGGGTGCCGGTCACGAAGTGAGAAGTGAGAAGTAGAAAGTAATAAGTGGAACTAGAAGTGTTTATTATTTATTAGATACCCATTGCTTTATCCTCGCGTCACACATCTACCAACACCGCGACAGCGGCACGTTCGCTCCGATCGTCGCGCGCGATTCGACGCGTAAGACCATCACGCCACCGTAACACGCGAACTAACAAATACTACGTGCTATTTAACCGCCAGTGCCTATACATCACAAATACGTTCGGATAACAGATCACTTCGCTATACTGTATAAACTGTCTAACGAGGGGTGTCACTTTCGGTGGCGCCCCCTGGTGTACAAAATATGCGGAAGCTCGATTCGCGGGGAGAATGCAAAATTTGTTGAGGAAAAACCCGCAAGTGTCAGCGTTAGCTTAAACCATAATGTAGGATTTCTGTACGGAATGTATACTGTATGTCTGTAGCCTCGGGCTCAGTGTAGAGATAAATACGGTACGGTTACAGGCTACAGCGTGTTTGAAATATGTCAGACATGATGCATTCATATAGTGTATTACTTTAGTACGAGTGTTCTGTATGCGTTATTAGCTGTACCGTAGCTGTAGCTGTATGCTGTAGTTAGTATGTGTATGTAGCTGTAGGCCTACACTGATAGTGATCATTATTGCGGTGAGTGTGCGCAGACACATCGGTTTGTGAGTGCGCTTGTAAACACTCGCGTTACTATAGGCCTACCACGTAGCACGTGGTGATACAGTGGCACTTGGTGAGACTGAGACTGAGACAGTAACACGTGACAAGACCGAGACCATAGCACGTGGTGAGGACTACGGCAGAGCGTCGGCAAGTGAGTTCCCGGGGGCCAGGGAGCCTACAGGATCGCCGTCGACGCCGAACGTTCTACCGACCCGTGGACGCGTGGGAGGAACTTCGCGTAGTGCCGGGGCCCACTAAGCGCCCCGTGCCGCGATTAGTTTATTTTGTAGTTGCGTATTCTTTTGTAATGTTTACCGCTGGGCGGTTGCCCCTTGTTCTTAGCGGAGTAGTTCAAGTGTCATCTGCTATGTTTTATTTTTATTTGATAGTATAAATTGAGCAGGTGCTTTTCAATTTTAAGTTGGGGGGAGTGTAGCAGATTCGCTTTTGGTATCTTGCGTTTCATTTTTGTCTCACGAGAGATGGCGCTAGCGGGGGATCTCCCGCAATAAGCAATTTGTGGGTACCCTCCACGAGGTCGGTTCCAAGAAGTGAAAACAAGAGAGAAAACGGCGCGAAAGGGAGACACGCCGGGGTAAACGGCGAGACAGCTGTGTTTGTCTTATTGCAGTCTTATTGTAGTCGGGATTTGTGGTATGATTGGTATCAGTGCTTCGTAGTGCGCGTACGGTACTAGTAGTAGTACTACTACTAGTGTGGTATCAGGAGTCTTATCAATATGATAGACTCCTGGTGGTATGTATAAGTCATGGACTCTTCCCTCTTTGTGGAACACTACCCACGGCGACAGGTTAGCTTCGCTCTTTTCGGTGTGCGTCTTCTGCCAGCCACCATCTGTGTAGTCAGTCGAGCAGCAATTACGTCGCCGGCGCTCGGGTGACAACACGCAACCCGCTCCTCGGCGGGTCACCACGGGCAAGGCGATATCTGCCCGCACAGGCAGTGGGCGTGACCCCACCACCCGCGTCGATACTCCAGATCGACACGTGCCATCCCCGTCCGCTCCGCTAACACATCCGGCTGTGTTGGAAAGGAGGAGTCGTACCCCCGCAAGTGTGACCATCACTCGCAGGAGATTCACGAGGCGCCGTATGCTTCTTCACTTCCTCCTCCCCGCAGACTCGTGCAGTGTTATCTCACCACGGGGTCCTACCCCAGCTTGAGCGATCCTATTGCCACCGTATGTCTCTTCTTCTTCCCTCTCGCTGCCACTCATCTGTCTAGACGTAGTACGCGGGCGGCTGCACCTGCAGCCGGCTACGCTTCACTTGCTCCGGCATTTGCGCCAAGCCCCGTGGTCGGTAACCATGCTCCATGGCTCCAACGGCCTTGTACCATCTCGCCGTCTCGTCTGCCATGCCCGCTTTCCCCACTTCATCTCCTTCGCTGTCGGCTGGCGAGGGCGTCAAGTCCGCTGGGGGTCGTGCGTCGCACCGTTCCGACTCACCATCGTCGGCGTCGGCCGTCTCTTGGTCGACAGGCATCTCGCACTCAGCCCCAGCAGTTCCTTGCTCTGTCGCGATTCCTTCAAACTCTTGGACCTTGTTCAATTGTTTCAACGTGTCGTCGACGTGGTCACCATTGACACTCTGGACAACATCCTCTTGTCCCTCTCTTTCCGATCGCCCACCTGCAACAACATCTTCTCCTTGGCTTCGTTCAGTTCCGGTAGCTCGAGCATGAGTGCATTCATCTGCTGCTGCATGTCCTGCACCTTGCTCTCTAGCTCTGACCGCACATACACCTGTTCCTGTAGCTTTCCCTCCAGCTCCTTCACCAACTGTAGCTGCTCTGTCTCGCTGCTTTGAAGGGAGTTCAATCGGTTCTTCAGCTTCGTCGACTCCTCCTGGGCGGCCGTAGTAAGCGCATTGGCCTTCGCTAGCTCGGAGTCGGCCGTCACATGCTGCATACGCTCTTTATGTAGCTCCTCCGTCACCTCAGCTAGCTGCCGCTGCAGCGTGTGCTCAACCTCCGTACGCTGAGAGATGCTGCCCTCCATCTCATGGTTGGCTCTCTCCGACTGCATGAACTTCTCCTGGTAGTAGGTCACCTGCTGATCGATCTCGTTCTGCATGCGCTGAGCCATGTTCGTGCGCTCAGCCTGCAGATTCTGCACCTCGGCCGTCAGCTGAGATATCTGACGCTGGCATCGGTCGTTCTTCTGCTTCAGCTTGGAGTTGTCCTGTCCCAGCGTCTCTATCACGCGCTGACGCGTGTCCTGCCCCTGCTGCTTCTGTAATTGACTCCGAAGCTGTCCCACCTCCTGCACATGTTTGTCGTGCGCTTGCTGCATGACATTCTTCATCGCCTGCAGCTCATTACGCTGTGCAATCAACTTCCCACTGTACTGCCGTGGCCCATGATGGTCGACCTTCTCTTGCCGGCGTCTCCTCTGTTCCGCGAACTCTCGCCAGCGTCTCCTCCGTTCCGGGCACTCTCGCGCGAAATGGCCCACCTCTCCGCAATCGTAGCAGGTCACTGGTCTGTGTCTCTGACCCTTGGACCCTCTCTTACGATATCCGGCCCTGCCGCTGCCAGGAGGCGCCGGGCGTTGGACGCTGAGTCCCCCACTACTCAGGTCTCTTAACATCTGCTTGATCTCGGACAGAACAGCGACTGCCGCATTTTCCCCGGAACAGGCTTCCCCGGATTTTGCCACCTCCCGCACTGACCGCAGTTGCCCATCGATGCTCCGTGGCGGCCGCCGAGGCGTCTCCCTCTCCGCTACTACTGCTGGGCTGACAGCCGGACCGTCCTCCACTTCACCTGCCTCTCCTTCCATTGCTCGCCCTGCCTACGCCGCGATCCTGGTCACGGCACCACTGTAACGGTTTTCGCTCTCTCTCTCTAATCGCCCAACTGACCGACTCGACTACTACCATCGGCCGTGGTATAGTACGGTTGCTGTTGTCGCCGCGCACCCTGACAGGGCCGTTACTCCCCGTCCTTTGCGATTCGATCACTAGGATCGCGACGAGGCAGAGGCAGCCAAACACCCGAGTGCCGAGAAAGGGGGGGTTCCGGTCGTCCAGTGAGATATGGAGGGGGGTGCCGGTCACGAAGTGAGAAGTGAGAAGTAGGAAGTGATAAGTAGAACTAGAAGTGTTTATTATTTATTAGATACCTCTTGCTATATCCTCGCGTCACACATATACCAACACCGCGACAGCGGCACATTCGCTCCGATCGTCGCGCGCGATTCGACGCGTAAGACCATCACGCCACCGTAACAGGCGAACTAATAATTACTACGTGCGATTTAAACGCCAGTGCCTATACATCACAAATACGTTCGGATAACAGATCACTTCGCTATACTGTATAAACTGTCTAACGAGGGGTGTCACTTTCGGTGGCGCCCCCTGGTGTACAAAATATGCGGAAGCTCGATTCGCGGGGAGAATGCAAATTGTTGGGGAAAAACCCGCAAGTGTCAGCGTTAGCTTAAACCGTAGGCCTATAGTAACGCGAGTGTTTACAAGCGCACTCACAAACCGATGTGTCTATGCACACTCACCGCTATAATGATCACAATCAGTGTAGGCCTAATGCTACATACACATACTAATTACAGCATACAGCTACAGCTACGGTACTAGCTACAGCATACAGCTACAGCTACGGTACTGGCTACAGCATACAGCTACAGCTACGGTACTGGCTACAGCATACAGCTACAGCTACAGCTACAGCTACAGCATACAGCTACAGCTACGGTACTAGCTACAGCATACAGCTACAGCTACGGTAC